TTTCTGTGTATAAATAGAATGTAAAATACATGTGCTATTGATACATTTTCATGTGACAGGTGGGCCTTCCTGATAGATAAATAGATTTTTTTCCTCACAATGTCAGATTCGGCAAAACTGTCCTATGGTAAATGATAAAATTGCACGAAAACAAATGGATAAAAAATAATAATAATGAAACGAAAAAAGTCCCAAACCTTGAAAAATTAACAAAGATAAGCGAATGCGTCAAGATGTTCTGTTCATTCCTACTCTCATTTTTGTTCTCAGCCAAATCAGGTCCAGAAATGGCCAGGTTGTGCTGGGTATGTATTTGAAAGAAAAGATAAAAGGAGAGCCCCGCTGAGCTTAAGTAGTATAAGTGGGCAGATGTTTATGTGCTGATAACAGTCCAGCAGACGTGAAACACATTTATAAGAGAAAGAAAGAAGCTTGACAACTGCTTCACTATCAGTTCTTGTCAGAGACACACACGGGGTGACGCTTTCCTCTGTTTCAGCCTCAAATTAAGTCACTTTGTGGAGAAAAACACTTTAAAACGAGCTCCAACTGACACATTAGTGCTCCAAATCTTTTTAAAGATTCAGAGAGGGTTTAGAAAAAGCTACATAAAGTACATGTTACATAAACCACCACTACTCAAAACAAACGAAAATGTCATTAAGTGCTACTTGAGGACACCCAGTGCCTGCCAGAGTAAATAAATAATGTTTTTATTAAATATCAAATGTTCAAATATGAAAAGCACAACTGCTTTATCCTTACCAGAGGTTCTGCTGGGAAGATGCTTGCTGGCGATTTGACACTGGTTTGCTGGTCGTTCTTATATACATACTGTGACCTTTAATCATATCAGCACTGTATGCTGGTCACACCAAGACTAATATTTAGGACAGGCCGGTCAACTTCTGTGACAAAAGCCTCATTCTTTCACTGTTGTTTACCTTTCCTTCAGTGTACAGTGTACTTAAAGGGTGTTTGGATACTCCACATTTTAAACTCTGTCACCTGATAAGAGCCCCTTTTAGTAGGTGGGTTATTCAAATACAGAGACAAGAACCACTAATGCTAAGTGTCAATAATCACACCAGTACAGTATCACACAATACACATATACACTTCTGATTCAAAATGCATAACTAAGTTTATAAGTGATGGTTGGATATTTTCCTTTAGTGTTTTAGTGGTACAACACTTGATGCCAACCACAGAACTGAAGTGTTATACTTTTGGCTTTATTGCCTCGAACATTCACAGAATCCCTCCTTATGACAACAGTAGAGCATTAAAGAGGCTTTTGTGAAGATGTTATCTGCACCCGTTGCTCTGGAATGTTTTTGAACCATACGCACTGCTGAATTAATGATCAGGTGCATCCCATAGAATTCATGTTGGTGGATCACATACAATCAAATTTTTAATTTTTTTAATTTATTTTAGAGAACTAAAAATGCCCTTTAGGTTTTATAAGTGCTTATGATGGACAGAACTGGAATAAACATTGCTAAATAACCAAACTGTTCTTGTTGCACCAAGTCTCACGTCAATTTCTGCTGGCAAAACTCTTAAAAATAAAGGTTCCTTATTGGCATCTATGGTTCCATGAAGAACTTGTAACATCTATGGAACCTTTCCACAAAAGTTTATAGTGGTAAAAGTGGTTTATAGTGGTTCTTTACCCTCTTAATAATAAAAGTTCCAAACAGGGGTTTTCCCAGTGATCCCATACGCTCTTAAAAATAAAGGTGCTTCAAAAGGTTCTTCACAGC